AAATTAAACCTGTAAAGGAGTCAATTGTTGTTTTTCTCTTGTAATAGAGATGCTAGTATTAATCTCATTTAGAGAGCATACCCATTGTTTAGTATCTATCTATAATATATATAAAAGCCTTGTCAAGTTCTCATGTCACACTTTTCATGTTTCACTTTTCATGTCCCACTTATAATATATATTCAAAAAATCATTAATTTTGAAAAGTACCTGTGGCCCAATCGGGCAAGAACTTTTCTTACAAATCTAGATGGATTAATGGACTTGGGTTCGAATCCCGGCAAATATTTTTTTTCTTAATCTGGTAAAATATTTTTTTTCTTAATCTGACAAAATTAATCAAATAGATACGATTCAAAGAGTACGAGATTTATTTAAATACTTTTTTAATTCTTGAATTTATGTATAATTTAAAATTTAAACGATTATATGGGGAATCAGATATAAAAGCCTGGAGGACTTCGCCTCCCAGACCCCCTTTAACGGGCTTTCGGCCCCTTTGCCCGGCCTTCGGCGTTTTTATCTTAAAAATCATAACCATATCTTCGATAATATATAATTAATATATCTTTTAAATGCATCAATAATATGTTATTATAATTTAGTAGATTATTCTCAATGACTTTATAATAATACTACCTAGAATAATTTCAATAGTAATATAATATCCTTTCACAAACATCAAAACCAAAATATATAAATATGAATGGTATTTATTTGATATAAAGTCACTTTTAAGTCTTTTGAACGTATAATCTAAAAATTTATCTGGGAGGGGTTCAAACCCGAAAACCATCCCCGTAGCTACGCCACTGTGTAGAATGTATATTTTTCATAACTTATTATAACATTTTTGATTAAATGTATATTTTGTTTAACTTATATATAATTTGACTATGATTAAAGTTAACCTCCTATTATTTGTTAACTTAGAATATCTTTTTATTTTTTCTATTGTAATTTAATAACAATGTCTTAAATTTAAATTTATATTTTGTAACTAAGTAATAAATCATTAGGAAGGGTGGTGGTTTGTTTAAAATTTAAAATAGAATGAACATATTTTTAGCATTGTACTTTAATATGTATTCATGATTTTCATATAAATACCAGGAGCTAACCAGTAGAATGATAGGTAAATCATTCCCCTTCATTTGATCCTAATTTTGATTTTCCCAATAATATAAATGGCAAAAAATATATACATATTAGACAGATTTAATTCTTATAAACCCCTACATAACACCTATTTTTCTGGATCCAAGGTAAAAATAAATTATTCTGGGTTTTCCTGGGTTTGGGAAATATTTTTTACAATTAATATGGACTTGAAAGTAGCTTGGGAAACATTTTATAAAATTAATATAGTCTTAGATTGCTGAAATTTTTTTAATTTTAAATATGGGTTAGAAATTAACCTGAAAATTTCTTTTGGAAACATGGCCAGGCCTGATCAAATACCAAGGCCCATGCAACTTTCATATTCTGATTGTATTTTTAAATGCATTGTGACTTTTTATATATTTTATTTCAGTTCTCAACTATCAAAATTATTATGGTCTTTTTGAGAAAATTTTCCCAAGTGCGTGGACCTGGCTTGTGAATTTTTTTAATATTAGGTATAGGTGTAATATTTAACACAGAATATTTACATGGCCCTCAGGTAAAAGCTAATTTAAATATATTTTAATAAAAATAGTAATCATTCTCAGTCTTAATGGGTTGGCCTTTGTCTGAAGTAGGGGTGAGCTGGGTTAAAATAGAATAAAAAATAGATATGGTGTTTAGAGATATACCTATCTCCCGGGTTGGGAAAAAATTTTGAAAATTACTATGGGTTGCCAAGTTTGGGAAAATTATTTTTTATAAAATTTTTATAGGTTGGGCTGGGTTTGAAAAATATTTTAAATTTTCCAAAAATATTATGAGCTAGAATGCTTGAGAATTTTTTAATATTAACTATGAGTCAGACATTGGCCTAAAAAAATTTTTATGCAGGCCTGGACTCAGCCTGATCAAAAAACCTAGGCCCATGAATCTGATTTTGATTGTATTTTTAACATTATGATTATTTAAATATTTTATTTCAGTTCTCAACTACCAAAATTATTATATTCACTGGGCTTGGAAGAATTTTTCAAAATTATTATGGCTTTGTACTTTGCCTGGGAATTTTTTTAATATTAAATATTAGGTATAAATGATCAGTAATATTTATCAAATAATATTGGTATTATCAAGTAAAAGCTTTAAATTTAATTTTACAATACCATAATTTACACTTAGTTTTAATGGATTAAACCTGGCATGAAGGGGGGGGGGGGAGGGATTAAAAGATTAATAATTGGATATTATTTTCAAATAAGAGGTAAAAACTATCATAAAAGTAAGAAAGAAAATTCTCATTCCCCGTCATTTTTGACGGGCTATCTTCTAGTAATGAATAATATGTTTAAATAAATATTATGTTCATATAAATTTAAATATATTATCAATAAAATAAATAATAGTAACAATAAATACTTAATTCATTATTTATTTTATATAAAATATTCATTATATTATATTTGAATTCAGAGTTGTTAAAGGATCGAATCAAAAGATCGCCTATCCTGGATTCGATCCTAAATTTGTCAATTTTCTCGGATTTAAGATCCTGGCCTTAAATTGTGGATCGTGATTAAATCATTTTTTTAAATATTCGATCCCGATCCTTTTAAAAATTATTTTTATACTTAAAAAGCAATAAATAAAATAAAAATTTTGAAAATTAAATTTAAATATTATTTTAAAAAAAATATCTATCTACATCATATTTTATCAACCACCATTCCACCAGATTTTATATTTCAACAATTTCCCAAATTTTTTGTAAGAACAAGTTATATTTATTTATTAATTATATTATAATATAAATTCTAGGTTTCAATAATGTCCTACATTATAGATTTAGAAGATAATACATCTACTTCTATTGATGTGACAGCAGATATAAGTGAGAATGAGAATCTTTTACCATTTCATAATTTACGTAAGTATTTTACTTAATGTGAAACGGATGGATGCAAAAACAAAATATCTTCTTCAAATATTAGCAGTTCAAACGTAAAGAGTCATTTAGAAGTAATTAATTCTTTTAAAAATACAATTTTTATTATTTGTGAAGATCATAACAATATGCATATAATGAAAATTATAGATTTCCTTCACTATATGATGACAGTATTGGCATCAATAATTCACCCAAAATGTAGGCTCAATTGGCCTTTTATTAATCTGCCACAAAATTTGTTGCTAAAAGAAAAGTTAATTGCCCATTTAGAAGATATACAGGGTCAACTATATGCAGATCCTTCAAATGAATGCATGGATCGATAACTTAATTTTTAAAAGAGAGGTGAAATAAATTAAACACATGGATCGATACCTTTTTTGAGAAAAACTCGTCACAAAATGCTCTTTCCATTATTTTTTATTATTCTAATGATGATTCAGTGAATATCTTTGATAATTATGTTAATTAAAAAAACATTTATTGAATATAACACACCTTTACCATCAAGCGCTCCTGTGGAGAGTTTGTTTAATAAAGCTAAGCATGTACTTAATGAAAAACGTGGTTGTTTAAATACTGATAATTTAGAAAATTTTTTATTATTAATGGCTAATTTAATTATAAATAAATATATTCTAATTGTTATACTTATATTATACTATTACAATAAATTTATAACATATTTATTTATTTTTATTTTAGTTAATTTTGCATTGATCAGAAATTTAAATAAGAAAAAGATCGGGATTGGGATTCGATCTTTTTAAAAAAAGAGGATCGATTAACAGCCTGTTTGAATTATTAATTAAAAAAAAAATTATTCTTGTATTTACCTTTACATAACGCGTTGCAGTGGCTTATCCAAGATTTTCCTATAGTGGAGATAGGGGGGGGGGATTTTCAAAGTAGTGAGCTATAGAAAAATAATTTATTAATGCAACTAGCAGCAAAAATAAACTATCATTGATCTAGAATTTAATATTGATATCGCTTCAGATGACACATTATAATATCATGTAAAGATATTCTGATCATCTCTTTCAGTTCTATAAATACCGAAACTGAATCATGATGTATAACCCATTGTGTAGGGAACATATTTTATAAATTTATGATGATGGGTTTCTGGTTCATTCATTGATATATTTCGATTTAATCTTACCGCTTCGGATATTTAAATATTATAAATTTTGAATATAATGGTTAAAAATATATTTTATTTATTCTATTTTGTAGGTTAAAATACCCAAGGCATTTGCGTATAGAAGGTAGAGTATATTAATCGAATATTGCTATTTCAACGAATGAGATGCACAATGATAGCGGATGGATATTTTTTTAAATATGTGCTTTGACCATCCTAACCTTGTCCTCGCATTTAAATTATATTCAGCTTATATTTCTCTATATTTAACAAAATAGTTTGGGCGAGGGCCTCCCCTCTTATATTCACAACCACAACTGGTATAAACTTAAAAATTTATGATATTTGTATATCACATATGATGTATAATTTTTTTATCATCATTAAAATCAAAGAAAGTATATTAATAAAATTTATTTTTAAAATATAAATTTTATGTTTGATTATTGATATTCTAATACTTGAAAAATTTTAATTGAGGGTGGAGAGGTGGGGGGTAAATTTTTATTAGCTTTATATTATATTTATGAAATTAAACAAATTTGTGATGCCCCCTTCCCTCACCTCCCATTGGTTACGCAATGAGATTTGATAAAAAAAGGCTCATTTACAAAAAAATACCCCAAAAAATAAATAGATGGGTATCGATGACATGACTTAGTTACGACATACATCGGAAATAATATAAATAATGATATTTATTCATATTCTTAATTTAAAAAAATTAATTGTATATATATTCGTCTTTGATAATTTATGAAAAATCGTACCCCCCCCCCTCTACATATATTTAAAAGTAGATAAATCAATATTTTCATTCCGATCTATCTTACCATATGGTATTCTACCATTTTATTTATCATTAAAAATATGCAATTACTATTGATCATATTTAATCTGTACAGGTTATTATTTGCAATATTAGTCTAAATATGTTGAATAATTCATTAAATATAACTTTTACTTTTAATATGAATATAGAGAACTATAAAATAATTTTGTGCTAGTTGATTATAGACTGTATATTTATAGTTTAAATTTTTATGTAAAATAACAGAATTTGGTAAATAAATTAAAATTAATTTGAGCACTAATACTAATTGAATAAAGCAAAAAATATTAAGTTTTAGAATATGATTTTGTTTTATAAAAACAAATATTACTAGGATACTTAAATAATTATTTCATAAAATATATTAAAATGAATTTTTTATATACTTAATTTTACCTATTAATTATAGATAAATAATGGTTTTATCCCATATTTATTATTGGGTCAAGCTGAACTTTGCTTTCCCTGAATATGCACCAGATTTAGGTGGTGGAATTATGTTTGACCCACTTTTTGGGTTTCAAGGTTCCATATCTCATGAAGAATACAAAAGATCTCTTAAAAGACATGATGACCATCATCAAATTCATCAAAATCTACAATATATGACTAAGGAAAATCTTGATGAAAACCATTTTGACAATGATGCCAACAGGGTAGAATTTTGTGAAACTAGCATTATCCAAGACCGTGGTTCAAATACCAGAGGCAGTCTACTTTTGGCTAACATCAACCCTATGGCAGTTTTGCCTATCTCTTGGAGATTTCCCAAGGGTGAATCTGCCCCTGAATACAAGCCCACACCAAGACCCCTCAAAAGGGAACCCCCTTCAAGGAGGAACATTGAAGATGCCCATTTAACAACTAAGGCCAAAGATTATTGTGCTAACTTTATGATAGCATTCCAACAGTGCCGGACAGATCATTATCCACGCTTCAACAAGGCCTGCAAACCTATATTTAAGGAATTATCACATTGTACTTATGAGGACTACATTGATAGGCTCAAGGAGTTTGAGAGAGAGCGACGGTTGATAGAAAGGGAGAATAGGATACTTGAGAAGGATAGAAAAGAGGGCATGGATTCTTAAAAGAATAAGATTCTTAAAGAAAATTTTTTTATGAAAATAGTACTTATATTTTTTCATGTTAAGTAAATATATTTTAAATATATATATAAACACATTTTATTTGTCAATTATTGTGCATTGTGGTTTTTAAATATATATATAAACACATTTTATTTGTCAATTATTGTGCATTGTGGTTTTTAAATACAAATGTTTATTTGATTATTTTATTAATTTTTGATTTTTTTAAAAATGATTTTAAATTTGTTGTATTAAATTAATAAAAAAAATTATAATTGTATTATTAAAATTGTATTATTAAAATTTTTTCAAACAACAAAATGATAATCTATTTTGCAAACTATTTTTTAAAATAGGTGAGAGTAAAGATTCAATGATTAGTCAGATATGAAGTAGAATTAATAAAAATTTTTTAATCTACATAAAATTTTAAAAAAATCTTATTTATCAGAGTCAAAAAGTTATATAGCAATCAACTATTATAACATGTTCATTATTATTACAATTATATAAAAAAAAATATTTATACAAAAATAAAAAATAATCACAATTTTAAATAAACGGTGTTTGTTTTTTATCGTTTTACAAATATCCTGATCGTCAGATTTTTAGATTCTTTCTTTGGGTTAATCTATACTGAAAAAATTTATAAAAAACAGAAATGACAAAAAAAACTAAATAAGCAGAAAATGTTAACAAAATAAAGCAGAAAAACTCAACTGAAAATCAAAAATCGGAAAACCCGAAACGTCAATCCTACTAAATCTTACTCAGCTAAAAATGTGATAACTTAACTACTAAATACTTGTGGACTTTTAAATCGTAACTTTTTATTTTAAACACATAAACATCAAAGAATTAATCATGAAAAAATGGTTTATAAATTTAACCATAAAAAATTAATAATGAATCATAAAAAATCATTTTTTTTATCCCAACGATAAAAAAAAATATTACAAAAATCAAAGTTGAAATGATTGAAATTTCAAATACAAAAAAAATATTATAATTTACGACATATACTGTCGTCTTTTATTGCCTATAGTTTTTGATAAAATTGATGGCCTGCTTTCCGATCATGCCTAAGGTGTTAGTGACTATTTATATCAGAGATTTGCAGAGGTACCATTTGCAAGGCCCAACCCGGTTTTAAATTTTTTAGGCCCGGCCCGGATATTTTTTAAAAAAATTTTTTACGGCCCGGCCCGGCCCGGATTTAAAAATTTAAGGTTCGGAATTTTTTAAAATTATATTCGACCTGGTATATACAAAAATTCACCTATGAGGTATTTTACCATATTTTTCAGCGAGTATTATCTCTTATATTTAAAAAATACATGTAAAAAGCTAATATTTTGAGAATATTATATTGAATTTATAAAAATTATAAAACTGTTATTTATAAAAATGGATATTTTGAGCATATACTATATTTTATATTGCATTTATAAAAATAAAACTAATATTCATAAAAATGGTAATAATATTTGTCATATACTATATTTTATATTACATTTAAAAAAAATAAAACTAATATTTAATTTATAAAAATGGAAAATATTTTGAGAATATAATATATTGTATTTAATTTACTATTTAATTTACTATTTAATTTATAAAATAAAAATAAATCGCTATTTAAAAAAATGCATGTATAATAAATAGTATTTTGAAAATATAATCTAATTGCACAATATTAATATAATTTATTTTATAATATAAATTTTTAACAAAAGAAGATAATTGTATTATATAATATTGTAAAAAAAAATAATGTAAAATGTTGGATTAAAAACTTTCATGACTCAAGGTAAATATAATAAATGCAATAAATATTTGACAGTTTGCAAAGTAAAAAACCAGCATGATTGACGAAACCCTATACTCAAGAAAGATATTAAAAATTCACAAATTATCATGAAGAAAGAGAAGCATATCTACCTTTTCAGGTTGAAGATTACTTCTTCTTTCTTCAAGAATTCTCCCAGTAGTGGAAAAATTCCGCTCACAGCTTGCACTTAAAGCAGGAATTGCCAATTTTGCTAAAATTGGAAATTCGCTTTGATGAGCCGCCCACCACTCTAACAAATTATCCACCTTAAATGTTTTATCTATTATTTATGTAATTATAATATTCATCATCGGGTATTGACATATTACCAGAATTACCATCGCCCCATTTGTCATAAAACGATTCAGTTTGTTTAACAACAGTCGTAATTTGACTGGTCGATGGTATTTCAATTACTTCCTGAGCCTCTTGTAATTTAATATAATCTTTTATATAGTTTTCCTTCATTTTGCGATCTGTCCCTGACTACATACGTAATTGCTTGAATTTGGGACAGAGAAAAAGAGAAATAAAATGATACTTGTGTAAAACAAATTTTTCAATTAAAAAATGCTTTATATTAAGTAAAATCAATTTTATTTCTCCTTTTCGCTTTGAAAGGTATTACAAACTTTAAGAAGTGATATTCCTTTATTTGATTGTTTTGGTAAAATATATTCTAAAAATTTAGATATGAATTATAAAAAAATATAATAATACTTGAATATTGGGACTTATTTAAGATATTCCTTTATTTGATTGTTTTGGTAAAATATGTTGTAAAAATTTAGATATGAATTATAAAAAAATATATTAATACTTTGAATAAATTTGCAGGAAATTAATAATTAGATCGATCTGTGGGTTGTTAGGTAGTGTTAACCATCACCCAATATTATATTAATCATAACTATAATATAATATAATCTTATAACCATTAACTCATAATGTAAAAATTTTTATAAAAAATAATAAGGCCCGGCCCGGATATGTTTAAAAAATTTTTTTTTAGGCCCGGCCCGGTATATTTAAAAAATTTAAAAATACGGCCCGGCCCGGGCAGGGCCGGTGATTTATATAGAGGCTGTGTTTGTGAGGCCAGCATATTTATTCTTTTAAAGACTTCTGCCTTTTCGATGGCAGAAAATGACAGGTCAATTCGCTGCAAAATCAATGTTCGTCCAGGGGATAAAGAATATAATATCCGGGCCTAGGGCGTTTTCATTTAATAGGCCTACTGGTTGAAGAGTGGATGGGATATATACTTTTTTGAGAGCAGCTATGAGAATGTTGTTAATGAATTTATGGTGGGATTAACGTCCGAGGGAGAACGTAGTGAAGGGATGGTAATTTGATTCAAGGGGCTGCCACAATGAACGCAAATGAAGGGTGCAACTGTATTATATCCAAGGCGAGAAGATATTGATATGCGTTATTCACTTCTAAGGAGATCGGGATTGTAACTGAGGATGGCTTCCAACTATTCATAAACAGAGTTTGCCTTTAATATTATATCATTTAGGTTTCCCTCAAAGTGCCTGTTCAAAATGATGTATATAAAACGGGCGATCAAACGAGCATTCCAGTATTCTGAATGTTAGAGGCTGGAAGGCAGAAGAGAGACAAGCTGTTACATCCCAAAAGGAATTATTTTTTCACAAAAATGTAATTAGTTACTAAAAAATAAGCCTATATACGATAAGACTTACTGTAAAAATATGAGTGACTTATGTTCAATGGGAAATATGTGCGGCTTATATTCAAGAAGACTTACTGTAATAGGATTTACTGTAAAATATATATGGTATACACTCAAGAGTTTCTTAGTCTTAATTTATATTTTGATTTTTTTTTATTAAACTTACTTAAGATCAATGTAACTACAATTTTTAATAACATAACTTCAATTTAATTCTTTCCATATAAATTTATTAAGAACATAATACATCTCATTTTACGTAAAATTCAATAATGATAAAATCAACATCAGAAAAAAAAATATACATGAAAAATATTATACATATTTCCCATTTATTATTATACTAGATGATAAACCGTCAAGAATGACGGGTAATCAGAATTTTATTCTTTACTCATTGATTTATTTTTTGGAAAAACCCTCAGATGGCAGATTCAAGAATTAATGTCATAAGGGTATTTAAGGATTATTATAAATAGATTGAGCACATAATAATTTTTACAGATTTTTGATAGCTCGTCAAGAATGACGGTGAATAAGAAATTTTTTCTTTATTTAATGCTGGATAAATAATAAATTTTACCTTTATATGATGATGAATGAATTAGAATTTTTCCTTTATGAAGTTCTAGCAAGAATATATTTTTTATATTATAAATTACAAATACAAATGAATAAAAATTTAGTTTAAAAGATTTTTTATTGTGTACATTAATTAAAATTACTAACCATATACTTCATAAACATACTTTATAAAAAATAAAGGAAAATTTTAGAATAACCTCTTATCTAAATAAATATAAATAACACATCTCACAAGATAGGAAAATTTCTGATTCATTCATCATCAAATAAGGGTAAAATTTATTATTCGTCTATCATTCAATAAAGAAGAAAATTCTTATTCCCCGTCATTCTTGACGAGCTATCAGCTAGTAACTTTTTGATAACGGATTTAAAAAATCTTTAAAATATATGTAAATTTAAGTCAAGGTCACAACAGGCATTATTTTTGTTTATGCTAAAAAAAATGGATTAATATTTCCTCCATATATAACTTCGCAATGGCTTTCTTTATTTCCTTGTGTCCAACAATTTCTTGAATCCAGCAATTATCAGAAATTTTTTAGCAAATGATTTAAATAGCATATCTAAGGTTTGTCCATTCCTTTAAGTTCAAATAAAGTTAGATGGGAAATGAAATGATTCAATTATTGAAATTAGAGACCTTCACGGGCTTCGATTTATTCATCAGCCTTCAGTCCAGGTCAGCAGTAAAAATAATTTGCAGGCCTATTTTATATTAAATAAAAAAAATCAAACCCAAATCCATCATAAGTTTTAAAATTATTTGCCCAAACCCATATTTAAAAATTTAATTTATTGCTTTAAATGAAAATAACAATATTTAAGTGTATTTAATTTAGGCAATCACTTTTTTGCAATGCTGAAATTTATTTTCATTAGAAGAAAAAAAAATGCATTATATTTTTTAAGTTAGTCACAGTTTAATAGGCTAAATTTAAATTAAATATTTTTAGGCTTTTTATCAAAAACAAAACCCAATCCTGGCCCAGGCACATTAGTAAATATATTATTTATGCTAAAAAATGGATTATTTCCTCCATATATAAACTTCACAATGGCTTTCTTTATTTCCT